TGTTATCTGACTGACATCCAGCTACTGTTAGCAAAACTGATATAAAAAATAATGGTGTTATTGGGTCTGTAAAATTTGTCTGCTCTGATATATAGAGATAGGTCAAATTATATGTAGGGGTCTCTCATTGGGTAATTAAATCATTGAGGTTTGGATAAAGCTGACCCCAAGGAGAAGATATTTGGACCTGCTCTGAAGTGACACGCAAGGAATTCTCTCCGCTGACATGGTACCAGTTACCAAGGGTGTAAAGATATAAGTTTTCTGGCCCTATTTCACTCCATCAGATAGGTATGTCTGCCTGACATTCTCTTTATATAGAAAAGGACATTGTGTTTATGTTAATTGTGGTATTCATATTTTTAAACATAAATGACTTGTTTAAATGTTGATAAAGTTTTCATTCTTATTCATGTTAGTTCCAAAGTAATGTGGGATTAGCACAATAGCATGAAGGAGATCAAACTCTTTGGAATTGACCCTTTTCCTAGTAAAGAAAACATGAGTGACAGGTGTCACTGGACCATCATCAAGCAACTGTTTGTATCAAACAAAAAATAATTTTCAGGAGATAGAACATTAGAACATTAAGTTAATGGGTTCAGTTAGAAAAATATAAAGCAAGAAATTAATAGGCTAAATATTAATATTTTAGGAGCATACAAAAGTAGGGTAAGGTAATGAAGATTACATCATTGATAGTAATGTGTCATATATAGAGGTAAAGTGAAAAAAAGAGAGGATTGGGACTAATACTAGATCAAGACCTGAGGAAATCTGTTCTGAGATACTGATAGGATTCTTCTAATTAAACTGAAAGGGGAAGCTTTTAATAGATCCATTATAGTTGTATATGCACTGACAATACAAAACTGCTCAAAGGCTCTTGCAAAGGATATTACAATTGTCATGGAAGACCTGAATGCTCAAGTAAGGAAAAGCAAGGTGGTGCATTAGTTGGTAAATTTGGATGAGGAACCTATAATGGAAATGGAGAAAAATGATTCAGTGGTGCATGGTGAATGATCAAATAGTGGCCAAGACCTGATTTTAAAAATTCCCAAGATACTTTTGGACAGTTTGACTACATAACAATCAATAAGAAATTCAGGAATTAAATTTTACACTGTGAAACATATCCAAAAGCTGACTGCAGGAGCGACCATGATTCAGTGGTGCATGGTGAATGATCAAATAGTGGCCAAGACCTGATTTTAAAAATTCTCAAGATACTTTTGGACAGTTTGACTACATAACAATCAATAAGAAATTCAGGAATTAAATTTTACACTGTGAAACATACCCAAGAGCTGACTGCAGGAGCGACCATGATTCAGTCATATGTAATCCTAGAATAAAACTATAAGAGTTAAGAGGGTCAAGGCAGCACCCAAATTGTAATATGATAGACTGACCTAACTGCAAAGATATGTATACTGAGAGTGTTAAAAGATACAATGGATTTAATGAAAAGGGAAATTCAAAGTGGGACGCATTAAGAGAAGCTTTAGTGACATCTGCAAGCAAGATCACCCTAAAGAAAACTAGACAAAGGAAAAAAAGGAATGGAATTCTTGACATGATGAAAAGGAGACTGCTAACAATGCCAAGGTGTGGTACAGAATATAATACATTACACAAATTAGAAACAGATGCACAAACAGGTGCATCAAAAAGTGTGCAGAAATCAAAAGCAATTAGTGCAGAGATGCATAAAAGAATAAGAGAAATAACAGGGCGAAAGGCAAAGAATGAAGAATTAATGCTGGCAATAGAGAAAGAAAAAATATAACAACAACAAAAATGGTGGAATGAATACATTGGAGAACTCTTTCATAAAAACAGAAGAAAACCTGCGATACACAAAAATATGGAAAGACCAGAAATTTGTGCTTAGACTTATATCAGAAAGAGCAATACAAACGCAGAAGGATGTTTGCTTGTATTTTAAACATTATGCATTAAAGCATTTGATACAAAGGTACAACACAAAGAACTACTTGAACTGTTAGGAAAGCTTGATTTATTTGGGAAAAATATTAGAATTATCCAGAATTTATATTGGAAGCAAACCACCTGCTTACAGATAGAAAATGAATTTAGTAAATACACAAAAATAGAAATGGGTGTAAGACAAAGATGTGTCTTACCACCAGACTTATTCTGCTTTTAAAGTGAGGTGATTCTGAGAGAATTAGAATTCTTACCAGGATTCAATGTTGGTAGACATTGTCGTAAGAACATATTGATTTTCCAAGCATAGCTTAGATGTGGCACAAGTAGGGGGCACCCGGTGAGGATCAAATTGTTATAGACAAGCATATGGTTGCAAGAAGGAAATATGACAACAGCAGAAATAGATTTACGTGATTTATTTCAATAGAAACGTGTGGGTTTGGGACAGCTACCTTGTGGTATAGTTCATAAGCCGGCTGCCGATCTGGGTTGATCTCTCATAGTAGTTTCACTGGTTGGCGTGGTGCTCCTCTTGCTGACTGCCCAGACTGACTGTGACAGATCTCTTCCCTGGCCTCCTGTTAGCCGCTAGTACTTCCCCGTGTGACTCCTTTTATGGAATTTTTTATGGCTCTGTGAGTATAATTAGGAGGGAAGCATTTTTATTGGTCGAAAAATAGAAACACTTTAAAATATTATTTTATTTTTTGACCGGAACTCGTACGCCGAGCTTATGCACAGACGACGATACTGGTCATTTTGTGACGGGGCCATGTCCCGTTCACATCCGGCTCTCGCTCTTGAGTATGTTAGTTTATTTGCCTGCAAATCAGCCGAGATATATTTTTTTTTTTTTTAACAAAACTCACTAGTAATTAATTGTAATTGTTGTTGTAAGAACATAAGATATGAGAATGGAACAGTGTTGATACCAGATGCAGAAAAGAAACTACAGGAACTTCTACAATAAAGGAAAGAAAGAAGAAAGGACTAAACATTAATTATAACAAACAGAATGTCTGATTCTCACTAGAAGGAAAAGCCAAAGATATGAACGATGAATTGGCGGCACCAAAATCAAGCAAGTATGAAAATTTGAATATCCAGGAGTGTGTTTTAATAGAGGATAGAAAAATGTGAGACTAGAGGTGTAACTGGAATAGTGAAAGATGCTTTCCAAAAGCTAAGCAAAGTATTAAGAAATGGGCAAATTTCATTAGAAACAAATAAGATTACTGAACTGTTATGTATTCCTTCTATATGGTGCTGAATGCTGGACAATCTCCTCACAGATGAAGAAGAGACAAGGCAACAGAAATGAGGTTCTACAAAAGGATGCCGAGAATGCCAGTGTCTGAACAGGCAAGTAACAAAGAAGTATTAAGGAAATTGCAAACAATAAAGACATTTTGAATCAGAAAGAGACAATTGTAATTTTATAGGGCACAGTATGAGAAAAAGGGGCTTGTGGAATTTGATACTCGGAGGACATGTTGAAGGCAAGAGAGATGGAAGAAAGCAGTCAGGGACTTGCACAACAAGTAGAACAGTTTAGGAGGGATAGCAAAAACACAAGCCTTACTAAGAGTGTGAAAAGTCAGGAAGTTGTAGAGAGCCATGATCGTACGTTTCTTCACAATATGTAGGAGAAGTGTTTCTACAGGATATAGGTGATCATGGTTCTTTACAGCTTTCTTTATTATCTGTGAATTTTTATGCATTCTTGAGAAAGATAATGGAGTATTTTTTTTATTCTTTTTCTCCATGATTTCAGATTCACAGTTTTCCTTTTCTTTGGTTGGCACCAAATCCTAGAAAGCTCAGTCTACCTTACTATTTTACCCATAAAAGGTTGGTCAGGAGGAGATGGATTCATGCTTTTACTAGAGGCATTGGTGTGAAAGTGAATGCAACAGAATTACCCTGAATTTGAAATTAGCTGGAAAATTCCACTTTCCATGCTAATACATGTTACACTACCTGCATGTCCTGAGGGGTCAGAAATTACTATCTTAAAAATGACATAGATTTAATGTTATAATATTTTCAATATAGATCAGTTATAGCATTATATCTTACTTATTATAAAACGCAGATTGTGTGTCTGTCCGTTTATATATTGGATCAGATTTCCTACATTTTTCAACCGATTTCAACAAAACTTCACAGGACTACGTAAAAATTATCCTTGCGGTGGTTCTAACAGTGCCAAAAATTGGAAAAAAACAATTTTTTTTGCACAAAATCAATTTGAAAACATGATTAAGAGGCATCACGAGAATGAAAGGGGGACAACTCATATCGAGTTATACTTATTATAAAACCCATGTTGTTTGTGTGTGTGTTCGTTTTCAACCGATTTCAACAAAACTTCGCATTTTTTTTTTTTTTTTTGGCAGGTAGTGTTTCTTATTTTCTTGCACAATTTTTTCTTTATTTTTACATTCAGAATGCTTTAAAAATTTCATTTACAAGACAATTGTCTATTATAAAATTCTATTCAATCGGTAGAGACTCATAATGATTGAAAACAATGTTTTTGTTTGGGTTTGACCAATTCGTAAAAAAAAAAAAAAAAAAAAAACTAATTAAGACATGCATGTCCGTCAACCTTAAACAATAATCTCTGTCAATTTTATTTTTCAGTCTTTATGATGATCGATACTTGATCTATCTCTTACCGTTACATACCTGGGCAATGCCGGGCTCTACTGCTAGTATTATATAGATTTAATGTTATGACATAAATGATATAGATTTAACATATTACAAATTTAACATTATAATATAGATTTGACGTTATATAAATTTAACATTATAAATGATATAGATTTATAGATAACATTTAATAGGGTAGAGAAGAATGAGAACCTTCATATCCATTGCTAATGAATTTAAAACTCTTTTACTGAGTTGTGGCCTTGACTGTAATCCATGTTAATGCTGGCTTTGTGTATAAAAAAGAAATATATTGATTTTAAATAATAATGTTTCATTGGAATTGTTTGAATAATAAACACTGTTTTTCTTTTTTTGATTTTTAGTGTCACAGCCAAGTGATGGTGATAATATGTCCTGTGAAGGTAAAGGAAGCTTATAAAATGGATGAGAATTTTAGTGATTTGGAAAAGTCACGAGAAGAAGCAGAAATTTTATCTTCCAAAATTGAAGGTAAAGTTCTTTATGGCTTAAAAAAATGTATTCAACAAAAATTAGTTAAGAAATAAGTCTTCAAATTATTTGCAACTTTGTTTCTTGTCAATACAATTTCACTTATGTATTCTTTGGCTTTCATCATGTTTACCTTCAATTTTTGTCTTAGATTGATGTAGATCTTGTCAGAATTCTTGCAGGCAGCAGTAATTTAGTAGTCTGAAGAAAAATGATTCTATGTACATAGTTAATGAACATGGATACAACAAACTCTGGTGATATTGTTTTTTAGTTATGAAACTACTAAATTACTAGTGTCTACAGAAATATTTGAAAAAAAAAAATCTGATCATGCTCAGTAAGAAATATCATTGATAGAAAACGATAGACACAAAAGTTTAGATGTGTAAAATTTAATTGTGTAAGATGTTCGTGTCAAATGAACTAAGGAAATCTTACATGGAGTATGTAGAGATTGAATTCTAAATAAAATCAGATAGCTGCACAGGTTTCAGTTTAGATTGTATTTTGAAGAAATCTTTATGAAAATTTTGTAACCAAAAAATTAGATTCACTGTGACATGGTTGATTTGTGGTGTGTGACATATATATATATATATATATATATATATATATATATATATAATGTGTTGCATTACAACATGCACATACACACATGTTCTAATGTAACACTGCATAATAAATAAATATTTATTACTCACCGTTTTTTACATTTGTATTATATATATATATATATATATATATATATATATATATATATATGTGTGTGTATATATAAAATATAAAATAAACTTTTTTCCAATTACCATACTGACCATATAATTAAAGACAGATTGGTTGGTTCTTTTGTTTAACGACTTATCAACCTTTATGGGTTATTTACTCCACTGTACCTCCCAAGGAGGCATAGTGGCTTAGATTGGGGAATCGGAGAGCCGAGTTAGAATTCCAGTCAAATGCATTACATTCACTTACGTGCTAATACCCTTGGGAAAGGTGTGAATCCTCTTCTTCTCTCTCCAGCTATGGGTAAATACCAGGACAGACTGGGTTCTATAGCCTTGGATGGTAACAGGTCTAGGAGAAGGATAACTCTGAATTCAAAACCTGCGGAGGGTCATTTGGGGACCTTGTGGCACATAGTGCACCAGGTCTCTCTATTCGGCTCTTCAAAAAGTGTGGATGGTCTTGCATGAAACCTTTACCACTATAATCAGATCTTATGTGGTGTTGTTGGGCTGTTGGTTTCTTAGGAACTGATCTGTTTGACCCTCATATGTCGAATTCGAAGAGAGAGTCGAGAGTGTATGTATGTGTGTGTGTATATATATATATATATATATATATATATACATACACATACCATATTTGCCAGCTTACAACATGCACTTTTTTCCCTAAAAAATACCCGTGTGTCTTCCAAGATGAATGCAAGGCAACGCCCAGGCTCAAGTATGTTTAGAAGGTCACCTAATTGGCTTGACTGATAGGGACATGGATTTGTATGTTGCGTCATTACGCTATAATGTTAGCTATCTAATTCAGCATTTTATATGATGTAACCTCAGTACTTAGCTGTTACAAGTATTTCCAAGTCTATAAACCTTCCTGGAGCTGTGCCACAAGCTTATGCTCTGTTTACTAGCAGTGGTGGGAGCCTTCTGCTCTTGACTAGTATGTCATTGCCATACAAACAAAATCATTTTGTGATTAATGTAAACAATACGTGGTGCTAGTAAGTGAGGGACGCATGGTGAATGTTGCGTTGTATGAGAATGACTTTTTTTTTTTTTTAGTATTTCTTTCCAATATTAGGGTGTCTTCCAAGCCACAGCGTCTTGTAAGCCAGAAAATATGGTGTATATATATATATATATATATATATATATGGCAGACATCTGGGCCAGAGCTGCAGCTTCTTTTGTCGTACTATTGCATTATGGAATGAAGTCCCAAGGGGATGCTTCCTTGATAACTACGATCTTGGCTTCTTTGAGTTGATGGGGGTCAGCTATTATCTTACATATAGTATGTACCCTTAGTTCCCTCCTTGTACACACTTACACCATCTTCATTTTGTAATGTAGTGGCTCTTGGGTTTTGTGGTTGAACAATAGTAAAAAAAAAAATCCCAACAAATATTATCATCTTTGATGGACAGGATTTCTTCTGAAAAAAACTTGAAGCAAGTCAAAGCAAGGCATGGTCAAAGAAAAATATACAAGGAACAATTTAAGATTACCCTCCAGAAATTTGCCATTCAACCATCTAATTGTGAAATGTGTAACTGTCTAACATGAGATGTGTCATCATGAAGTGATGACTGAAAGGGAAATGAAAAAACAGATAAGCATCGGCTGATTTTCGTGCCTTGAAGAACGTCTTTTGAAAAAAATGGACATGTTCTCTTTAACTGAATTGGTGTAACCACTTTGCATAGATGACTATTGCAGGTGATGTGGGATGGTGTCTGTCTGTGAATTTTGCCTCCTGATTCAGCAAAATAATTCACTATTTTTGTTGTCTTGATCACCTTTTCTCTTTTTTTTCCCCCTTAATCAGAAAATTGACTCTACTGTTTATGAGATATACCATGTATGCAGAATGTCATGAAATAATTTTAAATGATTTTGGTTGTGAATCAGAACCACACGTTCATGTTTTTGAAGTGAGAAAGGAGATATACAAATCTTAAAACCCAAGGTTTATCCATTATGACTAATTGTGGCAAGGAGCCAATTTTGCATACTTCACTCCCCTAAGCAGTTCAGAAGTATGTTCCTTATTTGTTGTAGCTGGTTAGTCAATAGGCAGTTGCCTCAACAGCCACTTCTACACTTGACAGTAAGTGCTTAGGGTACAATTATGTATTACACTTCACTGGCTCTTTGGACACAAAAAAAGACATTTCGCTCTTTTATTAGCTTCAGCAAAACTATATGCCTACAAGTGATCATTTTAATATTAAATATGCATCTTTTTGCTATCAGCCTTATTCTGAACAATTTCTTTAAATTCCATGGCTTATAAAATTTTGTTGAAATGAAGTGCAGTCTTCATACCAGTAAACATTAAAAGAAGTTTATTCTTCAGAATGAATTGTTGATTACATTTTTAAACATTGTTTATTCTGTAGACCATTCAGATGATATTCCTTATTTGGAAATTGCTGACCAAAACGGAAGACCTCTCAAGTTGCCTAAGGAAGAAAAAAAGGTAATAATATTTAATATATATGTTTCATTATTATTTTTAATAATTTAAATTTTGCTGAACATGCCAACTGCAAAACTTTAAATCTTGCTCCTGTCATTCTGTTGGGTTCTTTTTATTTTTTTCAAGTTGTGTAAAGAAAATGTACTAAATGACTGTCACATGTACAACAAAAGAAATAAGAAAAGCAAGTGGAACAACAGGAAGACAAACTAAGTTTTTATTATGATTTTAGTGAGTACTAGCAGTCATACCCATCTGGTCGATCAGAAAAAGCCTTCAATTAGAATAGAACAAAAACAGCACCATGTTTAGATGTAACAGAGTCTATCTTCTTCAATTACTTTAAAGTACTTTCATTAAAAAACATTTTGAATTAATGCAGTTACTGATATAACAGAAGTAATCTGTATTTATTCAGTTGAATTTAGCTGAGAACCTGAAGGAGTAAAACAGGCAACATGAAGACCCACTTCAGACCACAATTATTTTGGAGATTTTGAAATTCAATTTGTCAGTGTACTACCAGGGACATAAAAAAGGATACGTTTATAAAGCAATTGTTAAATTTGATGAAAATTGGTTGAAAGATCAATGAAAAATGAGAAAGAAACCAGTAAAAATCATTTTTTTCAGTATTTATGTGGGTTTTCACAATATGGGTGGAGTCAATTATCAAGTTAAAAAATTGACTTATTGTTAGCTACAATTGAGTGAAGTATGTATTAGGTTGCTTGAAAATTGAAGGAGTTTTTATTTTAAAATTTGTGTTGAAACCAGTTTTTTGTTTTTTTGCTAAACTCAGTGGTGTATCAATAAAAATGAGGTATTGTTGAGCTTGTCATGATGTAAGTAACCTACATGCCGAGTTTGAATGAAATCGAAAGAAAAATGTTGAATTTATTGATTTTAATTGGCTTTATTGATTTTTAAAAAAAATTATTGATTTTTTACACTGAGAACCTATCTCTTACATTGTACAATGTATGTGCCAAGTTTGGTCAAAATCAGTTGGATGGATCTCGAGTGAAACAGTATCACACAGACACACTAACATTGTCTGTTTTTATATATATATATATATATATATATATATATAGTCAGTGACAAAAAGGAAAAGACAAAGGCTTACTAGCAAGAAGTTAGAAATACGTCAAAAATAACTTCAGTCGGGAATTGCTGGATAGTATAGTTTACATGTCAGGTTAGCAGATGGTAGTAAACAGATTGCTCTGAAACAGATTTCATCAACTGACAAATGACTTAATTTTGGCACCAACCAATGAATACAAATATCTGGATGGAAGACCTAAACTTGTAAGTTCATCTGACCACATCAAACTCAGAAAAGTTTCATTCATAAAAATAGATTAACAATGACTTCTGACAGACTGTGATGCAATATATACTTGATGAAGTCTGAAGAATATATTGGCTGAAATGGGTTAAAGGTTACAAAGATAATGTCCATCATGTAAAGAATATCAGGAATAATGAAAATACTTGGTTGCAGTTTAAGGAACTGCTTGAAAAAAAATGTTACTAGCTGACCTTAATAGATAAAAGAAATTACTACATAGTTTAGAAACAATAAATGCTCAGCTTTCTCATTAATGTCTCCTAGATAATTTCTGTGACCAAATTCAGCCTACATGGGAACAGGGAAAAATCTGGGAATTTTGGTTTCATGCCAGGGAAATCAGGGAATTCTCTCATATCATGTGACATGCATTGAATGACATATTTGTGAAAACTGAAATAAAAGTTAAATGTTTATATATACAGAGTTTGCACAGGTCCTGAGAACCTTGAAAAGTCCTGGAAAATTGATAGGGCCTTTTCCAGGGCTTGAAAAGTTCTGGAAAAACAGTAATAGCCCAAAAGCTCCTTGAAAAGTCTTGGAATTTTCTAAGTTGGTCTGCTCACATGTTCATTTGTCAAAATGCCAAATCCTAGAAATTTGGCTTTTTTACAAGCTATAATTGCCCTTTAAGAAAAGTGTTTTTTTTTTTTTTTAGTTGTCAGTAATATTTGGCATTTATTGTGAATGATGATTTGTTTCCTTGATTAGAATGAGTTTGTGACCTTGTAGTGACTTCTGTATTTTCTCGTCTAGGTGATGAGAAATAAAGAGAGAAAGAGTATGAAGGTGTGTCTTCTCCTAGCCTCAAAGCAAAGATAAAACACATCAGAGACAAGTAAACATCTGTCAAAGATAAATTAATTCACACTCATTGAATCTGCAGTTGAAAGGAAAATAATAAATTATTTTACAGTAATAAAATACATTTTAGTAGAATGTCAGTGTTTTTAAAAAAATTGAAGAAATTTTATTTACATGTCAATTTCAAAAAGTAAAAAATCCTTTTGATCTCTAGTGAGCAGTGGATAAGTTCATACTGAAAAAACTTACTTTACTCTGTCAATGTGTATCTCTGTGTAAATTGTTGTCAAAAGTAACAAGTTTGAGAATCAAATTTGACTCAAAGAAAATGTAAATGGCAGGGAAGGATGATAGAATAGAAAATGTACCTTTGATGTGTCTTTGGATAGAAAATGCATCTTTGAAAAAATATGAAGAATATTATTTTTAAAGTTTGCAAGCTAATAATGACATGTATCTCTAGCTTTTGTTGTAAATGTGAAAAAAATATATTAAAACTTATTTAACTTTTATTGCTTGGCTTTATATTAAAAGTTCAATATGGCAACCCTGTCTCTTTACTTTTGTATTTCTACCATCGATGAATAGAAAATATACAAACATGTGAACAACTAGACATTTGGCCAGATGTTATCAAATTTGTGAATAATTACATTTTCCAAACTGAAGGAATTTGTAAGAATTTAATCAAAGACAAACAGGCACAAAGATGCTGCAAAAATCGAGTGTGGGTTTCTGGAAGATAGCTCTGTGCAAAATTTATCCAAAAAAATATATTTGTCAACAAAAGATCAGTACAAAGAAGGCTGCTGGAAATATTGCTTTCAAGAATTTCAGCAAGCACACTTTGTTCTACTCTTTATTTTTTATTTTTTTTGTTTGTTTCTACTCAGTTTTTGATAAGAATATCAAAAACTGGAAAGTTGTTGGCAGATTGCTGGTACTCTCTCATGGACAGGCCTCAATGGAGTGAGGTTTCTCAGTCAATAAGGAAATTTCCACTGACATGTAACAGCAGACTCTGGTTGCACAGTGCATTATCATGGACTATTTGGCCACAGTTGGAGGTGCTGGAAATGTTCTCATGACTAGGGCTCTTCTCTGCAGTGCTTTCAATGCCAGAACACCATACAGTCAATACCTTGAGGCTGAGAAGACAAAAAAGCAGGAAGAAGCAGCTGGACAAAAACAGAAATCCATGCTTATGGAAATTGAAGAACTGAAGACCAAAAAAAAACAAGCTTGAAAGTTGCACACAAGATTTGCTCATGTCAGCTGATAGTTATGTGGAGAAAGCTGAACAGACTTAGAACTTCCCACTTATTGCATAGTCCAATGCCATACAAAAGATCTGCAAAGGAAAAATCCATAGAGATATCAAAACTGGAAGAGGAGCTGAATGCTAAACTAAATGAACTGATAAAAATGTTAACATCATTGTGTTCTGTGCCATGTGCAACGAAAGCCATGAGTAGTAGGGGAAGCTAAAATGTGTCGTCTTTTTGTGATAATTTCTATTTGTAGTTCTATTCATTAAAACTTATATTTCACAGGAAATGTGCAGCAATCAAGATTTTTTATGACATTCATAAACCATGACTACTCGTCTAGATAGCTGAAATGTGTAGCAGTAAGAATTAAAGTGTGTTATTCAAAATTTTCAAGTGTAGTAGAACTCCAAATTGTAGAATGCTACACAAAATATGTAACATAATGAGGTCTGCATTCAGTTGTGTTTTAGACTTCAGCACTTTGATTTCTTCACTGCTTTCAACTGATCCATGTGACATGAATTATTAGAACCTGCTGTAACTTTTCTTTGGAAATCTCATCTGTCAAACTATTAAAAGATAAATCACAAAGTTTGTGTTTTTGAAATTGATGTCTTTGTGTGTAAGTGCCAGTTTTAATCCTTGAAACTCATTAGCATAATCCTGAAAGAGTCCTTGACAAATCCTGGAATTTTTTTTTACACAGATCTATGGGAACCCTGTATATTCTTTAAGTTCTGAATGGATGCTCTGAAGTCCTAATCTTGAATTTGCTTCATAGATTATACCAGTGAAAGTTGACGCAAAAAAAAAAATCTATTATTTTTTCTGAAAAATATTTCCTAGTAAAATTGGAAGACAGACACTCATTCTCGTCATCAAGAATGTTTAAGACATAAACGGGAGGGGGGAGTATTGGCAGAGGAACAGAAGGCAAAAGAAAGATAAAGGGGGTACTGAGCAAATTAATACCTTAGTATTTAAAGTTGAAAAAGAGCATCAGCAAAGAACCAAGTGACATTGATGGGAGACATTGCAGAACATACAAAGTCATGAAAGTAATAAATTTGACCACCTCTTATATTTGGAGAGAGATTTTTACATTGTATATAATAAAAAGGTTTATATTCTACAAAATATGTTTATTTCTTCACTCCTCTTTTTAGCTGTGCTCAGGCCCAGCTACATACATACTATTGTCTATCTGTTATATCTCCAATTCAGGGAGTTTCAGTGGAATTTTTCAGGGAATTTTCTTTAAAGCTAAGACTGAATTTTTTTTTTTCACCTTCAGTCAACTGGTTAGAAATACTATTCTGTAGTTTTGTAAAATTTGTCACTGCTATTTAATAATTACTCACATCAGTTAAAATTTGGAGTGATGACTTTTTTGGCAGTTGCAATAAAAAAAGATCTGACTTTAAATGCTACTCTTGTTCATGGCAACAGGGTGTGATGAATAAATTGTCCTCTAAATTATGCAAAAATTAAAATAACACTGACCTCTCATCTTAACGGACATATTTACCAAAATTACATAAGAATATCTTGAGATACTAAAGAGTAAATTTATTTAATAAAATCACCATTTGCTTCTACCACAGCCTCCAGATGACTTCAGAATCTCCTGCAACTCTTCTGGACGGTCTCCTTGTTTAAGTTGGTGAATGCTGCCATAATCCTTGCTTTCAGTTCATCTTTGGTATTACAAGGAGTTTTGTTGGTTTTCTTGCTCAACTGTGCCCCACAAATAAAAATCAAGGGGGTTGTAGTCTGAGTAGTTAGGTGGCCAGATTGTAAGGGGTGATGTGGTTGCAGAAATTGTCTGATAACCATGACTGTGTTCTCTTGCTTGTATGGCATGGTGCAGAGGCCTGTTGCCCAGCAGCCTCTCGCTCTTTATCCAAGGCAGCACTACCTCAGAGGCACTTGATGTAGCCTCTGTGTTGAGTTTGAAGCCCTCACTAACAAATGTGGGAGTTCTTATCAGAACGATCAGAGTGAGTTTTCCGAGCTGCCGTATGTTCGTAATCACTATTAGACTCATTCAACTCTCTGAATTCATTGCAATGTCTTCAGATTGCATGAATGCCAAGCAGTACAGCATGCTGTTTCCAAATTTCTAGTGGAATGAATTACATGATGGTGCTCTTTTGCTCACAGACGGCACCCAACCAAAATCAAAAACAAACAATGTGCATGTACGAAATAAGAAATATAAAATAGCGACAATTTATCCATTGCACCCTGTATAATTGCTGTTGCAAAAAAAAGTGGAAAACTATTTTATATATATATAATATAATATATATTGTTTTATTGTACTGCCTTTATATGATGAAGCTTTCTTGTATATACTTTATATTGATTATGACTGTATTCTGCTAGTAATTAATTAATTCTTGACCACTGATAATCTATGATAAACAGCTCAGGCTTTAGTTCTAGATCTCTTGAAGGTGTTTGGCTGGATTTTGGCATGCTGGTTTTCTCCACAAAGTCAAGGGCTATGGTGTCCCTCAAATAATATTTGGTTTAATCCATTCTCTACTAACAAATCGTGTAATGAAGGTCTGTTGAATGGATAAATGGTAGACTTATAGATATGTAAGATAGATTCTGGAGAGAAAAATTGTCTAGCATGACACAGTGAACCAAGAGCAATGGATTCAATATAGACTTTCAACTTCAATCTAACTATTCCTGACAACTGACAATTAATTTCTACCTGATTTTCAATATAATAATCATTATTTGTCATTAAGGCTTGTCTTGATTTCTTGTCCTGGGTAAGACATTAAACCGTGTCCAGCAGCAAGGTCTCTGATCGGGAGGTTTTGAGGAGCGTGGAACCACCTCTTAATTGCTGGTGTTCCTGGGTCTGCCCTGACCTGGGGTGGTGGCACCAGTTAAGGTCCTGGCTATGGGCAAATAGTTAACTATTACCAGCAATACCTTTTTGAAAAAATTATTACCAACAATACAATTTTGAAGGAAATATATTACCAGAAACAGATTTTTGACAAAACAAAATATTACCAGCAATAAAAATTTTTGTCAGCATTAAATAACCCATTGAAGTTGATATGCCGTTAAACAAAATAAACAAAACCAATCTAAACCAAAGAATACATATTCTATTCATTCGAATTTATCCTAAAAATGTTGTCAGCATTAAATAACTCATTGAGGTTGATATGCTGTTAAACAAAATAAACCAAACCAAACCAAAACAAACCTTGTCTTGATTTTTAACCTTTGGTTGATGTTAGTGATGTAAGGTGATACCTTGCTTATGCATACAGGTTTTAAGGAAACTGAACTATACCATTTTTTCCCACTGCTAAAATTTGCCGTTTTTCTCTTTACTGAATGATTTATGAATGAAAGGATAATATTTGTTCCATATGAAGGAAAGCATGAATGAGTGAGGGAAAACACAAGAGAAAGAGAAACCTATTTAAGTTAGCAAATGTGAATTACTTGATTGTTTCTCACTGAAGTCTCCTTCCTTTCTCAATACATGTAGTGTGTCGTTATTGAATATTGATCAGAGCATTTCTATGAAGAATAAATGAGGAGAGGTGGCTATATATGACATGCATCTGAAGGGAATACCAGATAATGTTCCAGCTGAATCAGTGGCTAAAATCAAAACAAAGGTTACAATGACTGAGCTTGGTGGATGAACATGCGTTTTTGTTGTTGGACTGTTACGATGGACTATCATTTGAACTGTGATTTGGCTACAAGTGTTGCGGTCGAGAGACAGAAGAAATCTATTATAGACGCTTGTTGCTACTATGAGCTGACAGTTTTCTTTTTTTTTTCTTTTTCTTTTCTTTATAACTACACTAACCATCTCATAGTCTGATTATCAGTTATCTAAACCAGTTCCCCCACCAGGCTTTTCTGGTGAGGAGAGTAACTGTAGACCTAGCTGGATTAAAAACAACACCTGTTAAAGGCTGGATGAATGCTTTTCATGGAGTCAGTGGCTATCTGCACAGGTATTGGGGAGAACGTAGAAATACTTGGGTTGGCGTTCAGTTGTAAGACCCCCCCCCACCTCTCTGGTATTGTCGGACCTTTTATCATTCATTAAGGTATCTGACAAAGAGAAGAAAAACTCTGTGGTAACACCTGTGGCTTGACAGCATTCGTTGATGTTGACTGGATCTTCTTTTTTCAGCTCATGATGTTCTGAGTGGGATTGATCCAGTGCAATGTCATGCACAGGCACTGCTTTATACCATGAGATCTTTTCGCATGCTCATAATTATTACAATGATATGTTGTGATGATCAAACTTCACAACGAGTGGATAGCCAGCATATATAGAGAAAAGCCACATTGAATACTAAAGTATTATTATTCTGTACTGTTCCCTACATGAGTTTTATTGCTGTGTTAATGTTTGGATTTCATTTATTTCACTGTCATTTCTAAAAAGTCTAACAAATAATCTTTCTTTGCCTATTAAATACTTTTTTCTTAACTGTTTGTCTTTTTTTTATCTTGCAGGCTCTTGCTTTTGCGATGGCTTTAAATGAAAAAGGTCGGTCATCCATGTTGAAAAAAGACTACAGTGTTGCCCTTCTACTGTTGCTGGAGGCAGACAAAGAGTTCAGGTAAAATGAATAAGGACTATGTTTGGAAACTAAAAGACAATGGTTTTAAAACAATTTGGATTTCTGAGCACTAAATCTTTTTTTGGTATATGTCGGATGAAATGGTTTATTGTAAGCAGCATGTCTCATCTTTGTACTTGACTTATTTTCTCAAATTTCTTTATAAGAAAAAACTGTCTATATTTCTGAGATGAGGTATTATGTACATTATTTACATTATTCGGACTATTGTCCCCATCTTTGTCGCCATATTTATTACAACATTTCAGCCATTGTATGCTCTGGCCATCTTCAGGTGGTTGGAATGGTATTGAACTCACACTCTTTGGGTCCTGTCACTGGATCTAATGCCTTTATCCACTGTGCCATGTGTCCTTGAGGAAACGGCCAAAACGTGATACACATGGTCCGAATAATGTAAATAGTATAAGAGAAAATCTTTTTAAAAAAACAAAGTTTAATATTTACATATATAAAATGTTTTTATTGTTCAATGTATATGCTAAGCTGGAGGGATTCTTCTCTGTGTTTTTTGAGATGCCATATTTAAGATTCTCAGTGTATATTCAAGTGAGCGGGATCTATCTGCTGTGTCACTAATGAGGATATGTTCCTCTGAAACAGGAAACTGCAAGTCATGGGTTTTTTCCAACAAGAGGACTACAAGCTAGAGATAGTTTTTATATCTGGTTAATGCATATTCTGAAAGGAAAACTGTAGGATAGGCTTGTAAGCTGTACGATGTGGCCATTTTTGTCCCTAAGCAGCCATCATGTGACTCATGTCACTTTCATCTCGATCAAAGGGAGATAATCGCTTTTTGTATCCCTACAATGTATATAATATTTGATTTGTTTAATGCTAAATATTGACTTTTGTAGTCAATGAAGAAAATATGAAAGGTTAAAAAATTCAAATTAAGAAAAGTTAAAATTTGAAACTAAAAGAAAATTAATTTTTTTATGTTGCAAAGCAACACAGGTGATTGATTTTTTTTTTTTTTTTAAGATGGCTACTTTACTGTGGGTTTTTGTCTATAATGTGGTGAGAATGAAAAAAAATCTTTTTCTGAAATAATATTGGAAACTGGAAACAAATGTTTTAGAATACATCTTATTTTGACCTTTCAGGAAGTGCCGTTCAGATATCTTGTCAGCTGTGGACAATTTTGCCTTGGTCAATCTTGACATTGTATGGTGCTATCAGCAACTGCGCAATATTGATGAACTTCCGGATGCCGGTCAGTATAAAGCTTCATTTTGCTATGATCACCTTTTGAAAGGGTTAATCATTGGCAATTAATACTCAGTGTGTGTACAAATGTATATAATAAGATCTCCATGTCTAAATACATGTGCTCATATTTACAAGATTATTTAGGCAGTGCAATAGGATGAAAATTTTGTCTTGAGTAAATTCTTTGTTTTGAGTTCCTGCAATTTCTTTCTGCCCCTGACTCATCTCTGTCCATCTGCCCCTGACTCATCTCTGACCCTGACTACTCCTATCCCTGTTTTGTCTCTGTTCCCCAGTCCCTGCCTTGACTCTGACTTGTCTTTGCCCCTGACTACCTCCGCCCCTGTGTCATCTCTGTCCTTCTCTCCCTCCCTCTGACTCATCTCTGCTCCTCTGCCCTTGTCTCATTACTATCCCTCTGCTCCTGACTTGTCCCAATCCTTCTGCCCTTGTTTCATCACCGTCCCTCTACTCCTGACACATCTCAGTCCCTCTTCACATGACTTGTCTCTGTCCCTCTGCCCTGTCTCATCTCTGTCCTCTCCTTGCCTTGGGTTTGTCCCTCTGACTCATCTCGGTCCCTCTGCCCTTGTCTCATTACTATCCCTCTGCTCCTAACTTGTCCCAATCCTTCTGCCCTTGTTTCATTACCGTCCCTTTACTCCTGACACATCTCTGCCCTGACTTGACTCAGTTTCTCTTCACATGACTTGTCTCGGTCCCTCTGCCCCCGACTAGACTCGGTCCCTCTGCCCCCGACTAGACTCTGTCCCTCTGCCCCTGTCTCATTTCTGTCCCTTTCAAGTAACTTCAGAATTCCATTCTTCTAGAATGTCTTAACTTTAGCATAAGTCTTTCAGGGAATTTAATTTTTTCTATTAAGAAAGTTTTTCTCAATTTCTCTTTTTCAATATTAGAATCAATAAACAAAATTATGCTTATTATTATTTTTTTTTTTTTAAATTGCATTTGATAAAATACAATAAAAGTTTTTCCTTCGAATGAAGTTAAAATTAATAATTTCTAATGCTATTTTATGATAAAGACAAAATTAGCATTTTACTCAACCCAGTACTAGTTGCAAACTGTTCTTACCCCTCTCACCACCCATATCAGTTTCTACTTGTCTCTTCACCCACGTTGGATAGCTAGACTTGTTTCTGTTCCTTAGAATAAAAAATATGTCTATTGGTATTGTAGTTGTTTGTATCATTTGGGAATGATTTAAGTATATTGTCTATTACATGTATAAGACATTGTTGAAAGATGTTTCCTTTTTAACTCAGTTGATACTATTAAGTTAAATCAGTTTTAAGATCTGCAATGACTGTGTCAAACAAGAATTCTTTTCATTGTTTATTAAGATTGCTAGATGTGCAGGTGGTGTGTCATGGACAGCAGCTCAAAATGAGAAATTGGAGATCTGAGTTCAAATTCATTTTGAGTTTGTTACATTTACTTATGCGAAAATACCCTTGGGAAAGATATAAATCTATTTATTTTCCCTTGGCTATGGGTAAAATAGGAGGACAGACATGGCTCTATAGCCTTGATTGGCAACCTGTCTAAGAGAAGGAAAACTTCAAATTCAAACCAGGCTGGAGAGATTTGGCCTCCATCAGACTATCTTGCCCAACACACACCACTCTTGTTACAGCTGTAGTATAATGTGTTATGAAACTCGTAATTAAGATTTGATTTTGATTTTCCTTTCAAAGGTTTTGTAAATTAACCTTTTGCACTCTGCATTATTAATATTACTTTCCTTTCCACTGAATTCTTTTTCAAGGCCTCTCAATTGCAGTATCCTTATTGTTAATTTCACTCAAAGGTGTTTTCTGTTGCCATAGCAGGACATGACAACTATGAAATTCAAACACACTATTGTTCATGGATCAGTCACCTTCAGTGGCAGGATAAAGTTTTTGTACAGCAAATGAAATCACATATAGAGTGATAAAGGTTAACCTTTTTTAATTCTGTAACTTTTAATGTTTGATTAAATTTCAAGTTTTATTTGTCAAAAATGTCTTTGTCTTTTATTGTTACTTTTGATTGCAGAGAAAAGATTGAAGGTTTGTGAAGATTGTTTTAAACAAAGTTATGGTGAAAACCTTGAAAGACTGACAGTGATGAAAGTAAGTATTTGCATTTAAGAAAAGTGCTTTTTGTATATGTGACTCTTTCTTCAAGGCAGAAAGAGATTTGTGTTTCCTGGCATGAAAACTTCAGATCTCATTACTGTTGTTCTACTACCTGTGAATGTTCATTGATCATTCAAATCAAATCACACCTGGAGGATGTGGATTTTATATATATATATATATATATATATATATTGTGAAAGAGAACATTGTTAAGCTCTAGATGATTTCATTTTACAGCTTGGCCTCAAATTGTGTCTTAAAAGGAAACTATTTAGTGAATATATCTAATTTGTTAATTAAAGACTGCTTTCCCTCTTGGTCTAGTGCCAGATTTAGTTTTTAAAATCATTTACTGTTGTGTCTCCTCCCACAAAATGTCTTTGATAGCCCACTGAAACAATACTGTGTATATGTCGTAATATATATTAAACCGAAGTATGGAAAAATTATAGATAGCAATAGACTGCATGGTGGTGTAGCGGTATCTGACATTTACAAGATTTAACCTTTAGTACTCTGCATAATTAATGTTACTTCCATTTCCACTGCATTCTTTTTCATGGCCTCTCAATTCTAGTATCCTTATTAATTTCATTCAAAGTTGTTTTCTGTTGCCATAGCAGGATATAAGAACACAACTATGAAATTCAAACACACTGTTGTTCAGGGATCAGAGTCACCTACAGTGGCAGCATAAACTTTTTGTATAGCAAATGAAGTCACATACAGAGTGATAACATTGTTTGACAGGTGCTTTATCTCAAAGGTGACAATAACTCTTGGACATTTCTTGGGCAACAATAGCAAGGCTCTACCAGGAATATATGAATTCAAGATGTACATCTGGAAGCACTCACAAGAATAAAACTGCTGACCATTAACAAGAATAGTAACCATTTGACCCATCAGTCAATACACATCACAGTGCGACATTACATGCAGTTTTGTACTTATCAACTTATGAAGATAGCATTATTAACACCAAAGAACATTGATAACTTTTTTGAGCTCCTTTACACAGTGGAATTTTTTACATGGTAGAGACTGCATGAAGCTATAGAACAAGTTTTTAAGTTTGGTGTTGTGCAAGTTCTTTAATAGTATGCAATGTAGTCTGTTTTAAGTTTGTAAGAGCAACTAGTGAAACTGGGTTTTTTTTTGACAAATGTGACATCTACAGATGGTGTAGCAGATTATTTACACTACTTTGTTCTCACCATCATGCATGGGTGACACAACACTGCTTCCAAGA